GGCATGCATAATACTTCATATAATATCACATTACAGTCCAGCTTGCATAACTAGCCGTACAGCTCCCCGGTCTGCTTCCGTCTGAATTCCTTCTTTCCTTTTTTTAATTGCCAGTGCGAACTATTAATCAACAAACCGAGCCCATAAGAGATTGGAAAGTGGAGGTGCGTTTTCCTCAGCTTCCATTAGGAGACCAAACAGGAGGCAAACCTAGCTATTAAAACACAGTATGGTCCTTTTGCTTTTCTTATTTATATCTTATTTCTCTCTCTTTCTCTCTCTCTCTTTATTTTTTTAAATTTTTTTATTTTCCCATCGCGTATTTTTAGAGGCCGCTTTAATCAGGGAAATAAACCGAAACCAAAGAAAACAAATCCTCACAGCTCTGACTTCGGCCGGGATAACGTTCCCTCCAACAATTTGCCTTCGAGTTGCTTCAAATTAAAAAAAAAAAAAAAAAAAAAAAAAAAAAAAGACCGGGGGGAACTGCACATGCCCGAGAGTATCGATCGGATGAAAATGAGTAACAATGGAGAGGGGCAAAAAAAAACAACAAAACAATCTGTACCAATTAAGAGGCCTGAAACAACGGGCCCTGGAGGAGATGCTGGAGGCGGGGGTCCGCCGAACCCTGCACGGAGCAGCGGGGAAAGGGGTCCGGAGGTCGCGGTTGGGGACACTGAGGCTTCGCCGTCCGTGGGGCGGGGGGGAGTGGCGGGGCCGGGAGGAGCCCCCGGGCCTGGCGCTGCCGTACATTCGTCTCCCGCTCGGGGGGGAGCTGAGGGGCTGCGGCCCCCCGGGAAAACGCCGCTCCGCGTCAGCGCGGGACCGAGGCCGGGTTTTCTTTGGCTGCGTGGCGGGGATGGGAAGGGGGGGCCTCTGAACGGCCCCCGGCTCATGGCTGCGCTCATCTGGGTTCCGTCCGGCTGCTGCGCGCCTCTCTGCGTTAACCCCAGCGGTAAGTTTATTGCACGTTTTCTTTTCTTTTCTTTTCTTTCTTTTTTTTTTTTTTTTAAAAAAAAAAAAAAAAAAGTCGAAAAGCGGAAAATGGTGAAAGTGGAAAGAAAAAGTCCGAGGGTGAAGCTGGAAGCCGGGGGGGGGGGCTCGGGGCAGCGGTCCCGATACAGGTGGGCTCTCAGACGAGTCCCGTCATCTGCGAGCGGAGGAAAGGAAGGGAGGCGGCGGGGAAGGTGCCCAGGGGGTAGCTTACGCCGCTGGAGAAGCCCACCAAGGGGGGAGACATGTGGGGCAGGCCGAAGCCCAAGGCGCTGGCCGGCGAGTTCTCGTGGTACAAAATGGGGACCCGCACAATCCTTTGGGCGGCGTGGGAGAGGTTGGCCGCCTCCAGGTCGGCGGCCAGCTGCCGCTTCCACTTGTTGCGGCGGTTCTGGAACCAGATCTTCACCTGCGTCTCGGTGAGGTGCAGCGAGGCTGCCAGGCCGGCCCGCTCCGAGCTGCTCAGGTAGCGCTTCACGTCGAACGTGGACTCCAGCTGGAAGACCTGGCTGCGACTGAACACCGTGCGCGTCTTCTTCTTGCGTCCGGCGGCTCTCTGCTCCGCTTCGCCCACTTCCTCACCGCGTTCCTCCTCTTCCTCGCGGCCTCCGGAGCTCTGCCGCCCGCCCGCGGGGCCCCGCGACGCCGCCCGCCCTCCGCCGCCCGCCCGCTCCGTGTCCTCGAGCAACTCCGGCGAGTCCCGGTCGCTGGCTGTGGAGAGAGGCACAGCGCTGGGGTTGGGGGGAGCTCTGATGAGCGGCCCCCCCCGCCCGGGCATCGGGAAGGGAAACAACGCGGTGCGGGGGCAGCGAGCCCAGGGCTGAGGCCGCTGCTAGTGCTCCTTGCGTTATGAAAGACTCCCATATAGTGGCATGTAAATACATAAAGTATATGTCATGCATATGTACACGTGTAAGTGCACACTCATATTTGTGCACATACACAGCTATGTGCACGCATATACCTATATGCCTATACATATATTCATACGTATGTATATAACATCCATGCACGCTTATGTATGTGCATGTATATAACATCTGTACACTTCATATGTTTTGCACACGAATACATACAGCGTATACGTGTCCATCACGTATATATTCATATAACTACATACATACTTATATATATGCACTTATATGCTTGCACATTTATACACTCACGTATATGTATTTACATACATATACCAATGTATTTACACACGTATGTTCACATGTATTTACAAGAACATACATAAGTATGTTGGGGTTTGTATACATAGGGTAAGTGTATCAGTGAGTGCATGTTTATGAAGAGAGGGGGAAACAAATGCTTTTTGCTTCGTGTTGTTCTCAGCTGCATAAACCACATCGGCAGGGTCAGCTGCTCTAATACCGGGACATTGCCTCCAGCATGTCTCCGTGGTTTCCCATAGTGTGTTTTCCAGTTAGAGTTCTAAAGGAGGATAACATGCTAATATAATGAAATGAAGAATGTGAATGAAGAATAGAAGGCAGAAAGAAAGAAAGGAAAAAAAGAAAAAGAAGCGAGGAAAACGATGCAGTTGTTTTGGTGGTCATTTTCTCTTTCTAGACGTACTTCAGAGAGAAACTAAAAATATTAATAAACCCGTCCCTGTAAAAGGAAACCTCTGGATTATAAATGCCGCCTCTACTCAGTAGTGAGTAAGCGTGCGAATCCCATAGCCCAGCACGGAATCAAAGGGATGTGCCGAGGGACAATATTTTTTCTATCAGGATAAAAATAACCACTGATCGCAGCCCGTAAACCTTTTCAGATGTTAACTTGTGCCCCGGAGTCCGGGTGGGAGGAGAAGCCTCTCCTTGCGAAGCCCCGCAATGTGCGGAGAGCCGCGGGGAAGGAGCTGCTGGCCTCGGTTGCACCGAGGGGAGGGGGCTATAGAGCCGATGCTATAGAGGGCTGCTTCGGAACTCTTCTACGGGGACGGTGCTACCGGCTTTCGAGGTTACTGGGAAGCGTAAAGCAGGAAAAAAAAAAAAAAAAAAAAAAAAAAAAAAAAGAGAAAAGAAAAAAAAAAGAAAAAAGAAAAAAGGAAGAAAAAATAATAGGAAGAAATAAAGGAAAAAATATCTGAGAGAGAGAACAGACCCCGCTGTTGACATTTCAGGACGAGCAGCAGGCGGGGCGGAGGCTCTCCAGGTGTCCAACACCCTGAGAGCATTTCCGGAAATTTGGGCAGCCGAAATCTCCGGACAGAAGAGGGATGAAGGCTGCCGAAAGACACCCCGGCAGCACCACTCTCCCTCCCCACTCGGGATCGCGACGGGACCGGACTCACTGGGGAGGGAACAGCAGCACCCCCCATTTCCTTCAGGGCCCCATAGGGAAAGGGAACTTACTGTCGGGGCTGGCGCAGCCCAAGAAAGCACGGCGGTACCAACCGACGGCGGCGTCGCGGAGCGGGCAGCCCGAGGCTCCGAGGCGCAGCGGGGAGTGGGGGCCGCAGCGCGGAGCTCCGCGCCCACCTCCGCCTCCCGCCGCCGCCCTCCGCGTCCCTCCGCCGCCCTCTGTGCCCAGCAGGTCCTCGATGAAAAAGGACGAGACGCGGGCAGATGTAGAGCTGGCGTTTTCTGTCGCTTCGTCCGGCATCGTTGGTAAAACAGCTGCGGGAGGGGAGAGGGTCCCGGCTCCGCCGGAGGATGGCTCCTCGGCTCCCCGCTGCCCCGCGGCCGCCTCCTGCCTCTGCTTAGTCCCGTGGATGCTCTCCTGGTATAAAAGGGTTTTTTTCCGGAGTAATCATTTCAGATCGCGGTTTGCCATCATTTCCTGCAAGCTAGGAAGGGAGGGGGGAGGAGGAGGAATGGAAGGGAATGGGGAAGAAGAAAAAAAAAAAAAAAAAAAAAAAAGCAACTCGACAACCCATCGGAGGCGCCAGATTCTGCGCGAAAACGATAATAACGAAATAAAAATGTCATGCGAGTTAAACGCTGTACACGAGAGGGGGGGATCCTGCGATTGGAGGAGAGCGGCGGCAAATGGGATTTCCGCAGGGGAAGAGCAGGGCGATGGCTGAGCGGGGCCGGGGTCGGGTTCTGCTGTGTGTGTGCGTGTGTCCGTGTGTCTGTGTGTGTGTGTGCGCGCCGCCCCGGGGCTGCCACTCACGAGCTCCTTATTTAGGTCAATTAGGGAGCAAATCCCGGCGCGGGGGGAGCGGCCGTGCCGGCCCCGGCACACGGGCAGCAGCCGGGGGGGGGGCATGACCACTGCACGTCCCGGCCTTGCCATTGGCTGCAGAAGGCTGAGCGGGCAGCCCTGACAGCCAATGGGCTCGGCGAACATCGAGGTTATATTAATATCATTAATAATAATCAACCTCCCCCCCGGCCTCTGAGCGCGGCAGGCGCGGAGCTTTCATGTCTGCGGAGATGGATGGAAGAGACGGAGGAGACGCGCCCTCCGCAGCCGGGCCCTACAGCCATCACCAGGAGGGGCGGTGGGCACCGGGGGGCGGGCGCGGGGCGTTCTGCCTAGGAGAGCACCCGAATGTGCAAGGCCGAGCACCGGAGAGAGGGGAACCTTTGTCTGCGAGGTCTCCCGAGGACGCCTGAGTGTTCATAGTACGGTGAGTGCTGTTTAACCTATTCCTTTTTGTGTATATATACCTATACATATATATATATATACATATTTTTTTTCTAGCCATATTTGTTATATGCATATGTATTTATTTATTATATGTGGGAATATTTATTTATAATACTCATTTATTTATTTACTCCTTATATGTGTATGTGCGTATATATGTGTGTGTGTGTGTATATATATATATATATATACATACATAACAGCTCTCGGTGTTCAGATATGACTTCACACAGAAGCACACGATGCTCCCTGCTCCCCGAAGCTGCCCCATGCCCCCCGCCCCTCGTCCGCCCGAGGAGCTGCCCACTCTGATCTCACCCTTCCCACCCCAATCGCTGCACATTACGACTTCTTAATTGTTGTCATCTCTTCAGCGGAAAGCCCTAAATCTCCCCCTCTGCCTGTTCTCTACTTTCAAGCTTTCTGGATGGGGCAGGGATCCCCAGCAAACTGCAGAGCAGGGCAGAACCCTCTGCCTTTTTTCCCGAGATCGGACAGAACAGATCTGTCGATCCCGGAAACAGGACGGGACCTAGGGTGGGGTGAGTATACCGATGCCCTGAACAGCCTCATTCACATCGCTGCCTGCTGCTTCTGCCGGGGATGTGGGCGCAAATCTCTCTCAGAGGCGGTGCTCACCTGCTGCCAGTTCCCGGCACCCCTGGCCCAGCCCCGCCTGTTCCCACGCTGTTATTTGGGGATAGAGGCGGTCGGGAGCAGCCTGATCCCCTTCTGGGTGATGGTGGGTGACCTCTGAGTTCAAGGCCTATCTGCGGAAATATGGAAAAGAGACAGAAAGAGGGAAGAGGGGGAAGGAGAGGGAGAAAGAGAGAGCAAAAGAAGGAAAGAAACAAAGAAAGATGGAAAGGAGGAAAGATTTCCTTTTCCAAAGATGGCAATAAAATGCAACCAGAGCTCTGAACTGACCTCTGGAAGAACAGCAGCGTACAGTGCCATGTTTAGATTTCTGTCCTACCTGGACACAGACCTAGGAGCAAAACCAGGCAAGAGCACACTGATCACTTGTTGCATGTAAATGATGCTTGTGGACATCACCCTTATGCTCTCCCCATACTTTCCTGTATAGGAATTATGAGTCTGACCAATGTGTCTTAAGAATCTATAAACCATCTGCTCTGTTTCACTGTCAGACTCTGAAAATATATGAGAGCTTTCTGGAATAAAGAGAAGAATGTGGATGCTGGTTACTCCTATATATTTTATATCCAATGTGCAAACAATATGCATGCAGCCCGCGCCCATATTTTATAAAGTGTTCATACAGAGTAGTCATGTAACTTACACAATATTGCTTGCTTTCCGTTTAGAAATACTGTAATGAGATCAGTAAGAATAAATTCACTCTTTCTTCTTTTCTTCTTCTTTTTTTTTTTTTTTTTTTTAAGACAGTCTGGTGTGCCATAAACTTGACCTGTGTTTGTGGAGTCAGGTATCCTGACACATCCTTAAAGCACAGACTCAAATGGCGTACAATTCTATGCCTGCAAATACAGCACTTGCACTGACATGTCTGTGAGTATGAAGCATCTTTTAAGCTTGCTGATGTGTTTACGTACCTTAATGCCTAAGCATAGCTGTAGCAACATGACCACTGCCACTTAGTTCTGAATAATCTTTTCGCTTATTCTAAGGATAGAAGTAAGGAAAAGGAGGTGTGCGCTTGCTGCATTCACTGGCAGGGCTCTGTACAGGGAGCAGGAAAAGCACCCAGCGATTTTCAGCACTCATTTTCAGGTGGTGTAGCCCCGCAGATGCCGCATTCCTCCCTGTACAGCTCCGGGTACCGCGGGTGGGAGTGTCCCTTGTGCACCGGGTCCCTCTGTTGCGTGACAAGGGGACCTCTCACTTCCCTTTCCCAAGTCCCACTCTCCAGTCGCTGTACACGAGAAACAATTTTTCTTTATTTTGCAGGTCAACGTTTTTCTCCTGTATGCCCTGGAGCTAGGGATTGCCGGGGCCGCCCCTGTGAGCGATTCCGTCCTGTTCCGCAGCCCGGCACAGGGTGGGGTGCCGGCGGTTGACAGCCTCTCAGGGCCACCTCGTTTCCTCCCCACCTTTGTGGGCTCTGTGGGCTCCTGAGCCTTTGGAAGCTCAACGCACAAAGCGAGGGGAAGGGAGGTGCCGGGGCTCGAGCTCCGAGGGGAACCGGAGGATGGAGAACGGCATTTGGGGCGGAAAGGGTGCGAATTCTGTGATTCTGTGAATAGGTTGCCACAAGCGACATCTCCACCAAGGGGTGCCGGCCCCATGGAGCTGAGCGGGCCTGCAATGTGAATGCAATTATCCCTCCTGTGTTTGATTGCTCTCCTTACTCTTCTTCCACCAGCACTGCTTCGGTACGTCGTGAAATAGAAGCGAAATGAAAGGCAGCCTTGAGCGCCCGCTCCCTAAGCTCTGCTCCGCTCCGCTTTTAGGAGCGCACGATGGGTTTGGAGTCCGGAGCTTTGCGGGAGCCCTGAGACGGGAGTGGAAGAGGGAAAGGGCTCTCCCTCCTCCGTACCCACAGAAGAGCTGCGTGCCTACAGTCCTTCCGGCAGCCCCGATGGCAGCGCTGCAGGGAAGAGTCCTGAGCCAGCACCCGCCTCTGGTTGATACAGATGAACGCACATATGCATATACAGGGTTTTCTTGTTTTTTTGTTTTTGTTTTTGTTTTTTTTTTTTTTTTGGTGAAGTTTGCAGATAGGTTCGCTTAAACTATAAAGTCAATAAAAGACCCTAGGTGCATCTTCAGTAAACCACAAGCAATTCTATGAGAAATACTCGCAAGCAATTTTTTTTCCGAGCTTTTTTTTTCGTGCTCAGTGATCCCTTAGAAAAGTGGAGGATTGCAAACGTTTGAATATCTCCCTTTAGAAGAAGCGTAAAATAAAACAAACGATCGACCTGAAATTGGTTGTCCGGCCTCTGTGCGATATTTCCTCTGCCCCGATAGTGCATCTCCGTCTGTGTTGTCCCCCAGAAGCGGTGGCTGCAGAGCAGGACCTCAGGGAAGGGGCTCACGTCCCCCGGGCGATTGCGAAGGATGCCCCCTCGGTACCGCCCCGTCGGGGTGAGGATCCTGAGGGCATCTCACGAAGGTGTCCCATTTTGGGTGGCAGGACGAGGATCAGACACAGCCCCAGGCTGTGCGGGGAGCCACGATCCTTCCTCGTTGGAACCCCGAGGGGCTCTGCCTGCACGTTTTGTTGCTCCCAAGCTATAGGAAACATAGCTTTAGTCTACATGTACGTACAGACCTAAGAGTCCTAAAACTCTTCAAACGTGGATTAAACAGCTCTTGAGTTCAGTCACACTGTGTGCATTTCCTTTCTTAATAATAAACACAATAAGGGATTTCCAAAGGTGAGGTAAATCATAACTATGGTCTTTTTTTATTCTCATAATTTTTACGTGTATAAACTCCCCACTCACTGATTTCTTCACTGCTAATGACACTGGTGGAGAACTTTTCCTATTTCAAGACCACTGCATAACTCGCGCTGACTCCCATGAATGTATTCATTATTCACAGAGAGTCACTAAGTGCTCTGCATGGAAACTTCCAGTCCCTCGCATGTCCTGACTGTTGCCTGTTAAGTGTTCCTTATGGATGGTGTGCCACTGGGAACACGAATCTCATGGTCTTAGTGCTGTTTCCTTCCTAAGAGAAGGAAATTTTAATCCACGATAAACGATCAAAGAAGGGAACGTCCCAGGGTAGGTGAATAAATAAATGAAGAAAGAAGTTTGAGAATGAATAGAGGGCATATGTATCCTCACGTGCCAATATTCAAAAACAATTATTAGCTGCTTGACTGGAGGCTAGGAGAGAATGGATCATCAACAAATTATGTGATATATTATAAATAAATAAATAAATAAATAAAGTAGCCCCAACTGAAAACAGCTAACAATTGTTCAAAAGTGACTTTTACAGAAGGATCTTTGGCATCTATTTCATTATAAAATTTTAACATGGGGTGTTTTGTTTTTTTTCTATGTACTGTGTATGAATGCATGGTTTTATTGGTACTGGTTAGGGTCAGCCACAGGAGAATTATGGAGGTCATGTGAAATAGGTGCCAATAAAGCTTTTATTATTGTTATACAGACAAAAGAGCATTATGGAAAGAGATCTTTACCAGACCTGAACATGGATATTTTGTTCTGCTAACAATCAAGTCAGAAAACACAGGGACACAGCTAAAAAAAAAGTGAATTTTCAGAGCCATTGGGCATTAAACTATTATCCTCAGACTTTTGGAATTGAATTCCATCATAAAATCGAGGTCTCCTGAAATGAAAGACTGTACATGACTTTTGATGTTGCCTAAAACAAATGATGAAAGGAAAAAACATTTGCACTGTCACAACAGAATATAGCTTTTTCCATTTTGAAGTCATTTTTGTGCTGTATGTGTGTAAGGCAGTGTGAGAAAATAGAACTATTTTTAATTGCAGGAACAGCCTTCAGCTGCGGTTTGTATCTATCTACAGTTTGAAACCAAAGATTTCCCATCAATGTAGAGAAAATATTATTCACCTCTCTTCTACTAAAATCATTCAATCATCTTGAATGATTTTAGTAGAATGTTAAATCGTCGTCAAGAATTGCAGTGAACCTCCTCCATGTTTTGATACGTTGGATTCTTAGATCCACCTTCAACAGCTGTTGGAACTCAATGAATTCAGTGAGAGCTCCCATCTCAAGAGTTTCAGATTAATGCCAGGAGGAGACGAATTCAGTCAAAGCAAGTATTAAGAGCTGGACAATACAAAACATTCTTTGTATTTTTACAGTACTGTAAAAGTAATATTGACACATAGATCAATATTATCCCCCCAGTACTGCTAAAAGTTATATTAGCTTTTGCATTTTGACAATAAAATGTTTAAAACCGTGTATACTTTATAAGGTAAAGTTTTAGGAAAACTTGTGAAAATTATATAAACCCTTATTCTATATAAATTCTCCCATATTTTGGAGTTACATTAATAAGAAGCAAGTGTTCTCTGCACAGATAGGAAGCAGAAAACATCCACTTCCCACTGACCTGTAATTCATTTATCATATCAGAAGACAACAAACCAAGCCTTAAACTTGCTTTTAGATCAATGAGATTATTTTTCACTGTCATATGAAAACTGTACTTTTGCAAATTGTATTTGAATGAAGCATATATTTCCCCTTCACCCCAAAAAATCCTCTTTCACCCATGATATATATACATATGTAAGCACATGGATTTTTGAATCAGCTCAGAAATAATCTTTATAGAAATCAATGGGTACTTAGAGTTTATGTGAGTCATTAAAATCTGGGGATGAATACAATTTTCAGATGGTTCTGTGATGTATTAGAAATGGTTTTGCAACATTACAGCATATGTGGAGATACATATCTGGAGATATATACAGTTACATACATATGAATATGTTTATTATGGTACACACAAATTGCATTTGCACATAGCATGAAAGTGGTGTTGAAATGTCTTTAGAAAGGACTGGACCTAGTCAAAATGAATAATGTAGTGAACACAGTTCCTAATGTAAATCTATGAAAACCCCAAATGCATTCATTTTCTTGCTCCAAATTATTTTGTTATCAAGTCCGATTAGCCCTAGTAAACCCTGAAGCAGTAGGAAGGCTGTATCAGACATGGAGTGAACTCGGTGGTAGAACTCTGTTTGCCTTCTCTTGGCATGCAGCACTGAGATGTACTATCTTCCTCAGGATCTCAGGATCTCAGGGGCTTGGCAGGAAATGCAGCCATATCAACTCCTTCTCATGAGATCCCTCTTTGACTTAGAAAACTCTGAGCTGTGTTCTGAGGGTGCAAGCCAGTTCCCACAGTAATTCTTTGTGAAACCTGAACACTGCAGCCCACATTCTGCCCTTATGAGGACATGAGAAGTCAACCTAGAAATGTACACAGGCCTCTGGCCATGAATAATAAAATCTACACTGCAGTTAGCTTAAATTGGAGCGATAAGTGGACTTGCTGCAGGAAAATTTCCATATCACACTTTGCAAATCCATGTAAACCCAGAGGAAGCTAAAGTCTTGATTTAATTGGAGAGGTTACTGGAGAGCTGGGCTAAAAGCTGAAGGTGTAGCCCTGAGGTGAGTCACAGCGGAATGTCTCAGTTCTCTTTTTATCTCCTAACCTGCAAGATTCTCCTCTCACATTTACTTAGGAGGGATTCATCAAACTAAGTGAAGACACCAATGACAACCCTTTGTACCCCATGATCCCCTTAAAGCCATTACATATCAACTCAACAATTTCCATGCATTCAGGGTGTAACTGTCGTATCAAGTAGGTCAGATGAACCATCGCCCATGCCTTCTTCCAACTGTCTGGTCTTGGAGAGGCTTTTTAGCTGTTTAATGTCAGTATATACCATGGTACAGACAGGTAAAGGACAGCCCTCCAGGGAAGCAAAGAAGACACAGCTGACTGGATATTGTAAGGGAAGGTGCACAGTGGGAGGTGAAACTGCTCTCTTCAGCAAGCTTCTCAGCACCAGATCACAGACGATTTGGCACTCCCTTGTCCAGCGCAAATGCATGGCTTGGTGTTCTTGGCCATGTGTATATCAGCTAGGTAAAACAGACAGGCTTAGGCAAATGCTTGTTTGTAGTTTTTATTGTTAGCTCACTCCCTAGCAGAGTGGGTACTCACAAAGATAGAAAAGACTGGGGACTATTCCTAGTACATATCAGAACACTGTTTTGGAGGAGCAGAGGATGTAGTCTGGAGACCCAAGGCATGCCATGACACTTGATCTCAGGATCAGGATAGCACAGACCCAACCCAACGCGTCCATAACACTGTCATTCTTCTAGAAAGGGAAGATGTTTTCCCAAAACAGTAGGGAGACAATGTGACCTGTAATCGTGGCATGGAGTCACAGGAGTTTGGGTAGGCAGTGTGTGTTTTGCAAGGGAGCAGAGCCTTGTCTACTTTTCCTCCTCTTCCCAGCCACCATCCCTGCAAAAGCACACCCCTGGCCAACAGCGGCCCTTTAGCAGGATTTATAGCTATATCTCTATCTGATGAGCCACTCTCTAAAAGTAGGCTAACTCAAAACATACCACATTGCTGCTTGGAAATGCAGATGTGAAGGGATATCTGGTTCTAATATACAGATCACCTTATGGTGTGGCAGGTTTCAGTTTCCACAATAGAGAGTGCATTTGTGCTAGGAGTGATTTAAGCCATTTGGGACCTTCAAAAGCAGAAACCCTTCATGAACCTTATTAGAAATGACTGCACTTGCTGAAAAAAAATAAAAGGGAAGAGAAACTAGAGGAGTGATCCAAGATCACACACATCTGAAGAGTGGAAAGGAAGACTTCTCCAAAGTGTTAATCTTTTAACAGAAAACACCGAAGTTGAGTGTGAGAGAAATATCTCAATTCCTTTGTTGAAGTCCTACTAATGCTGATGAAAATGACAACTTATGGCAAAAAAAGCCACTAGATTTAGTTTGAAACAGTCAATTTATTAAATATAATCAATATTTGCCATCATCTCTTCTATTGCATTTCAATATCTGCATTTTGCTTTTTGCTGATGGACTTAAAGAGGAAAACAACAAAGTAGGTTTTCCTTT